CCCCTGCCCCCTTCCCCTCCCCCCTTCCCCTCCCCTCTTCCCCTCCCCCCTTCCCCTCCACTCCCCCTACTCACCCCTTGAACAGCACGTCATTGGCCAGGTAGATGAGGTGGAGCTGCTTCTCACAGTCGCTGTAGCTGGTGGCCCTGGAGGCGGCTGTCAGCGCCAGGCCGGGCGCGTGAGACTGATGAGACATGAACCAGGCGGCTGCGGACTTGATGGAGTCCTGGGGGGATGACGGCGGGTGGGGGAAAGACGGCGGGTGGGGGCGTTAAGAGGGAAAACAACTGACAAGGGAAGCTGATAACCGAGATAGACGGATACACCAGGACTAGACGGATACCACATCCGGAAAATGTGTGCAGTCATCGACAAGTAGCGTTGTCGGGTAGGTGAGGTGGGAGCTGGGTCGAAGCGGCTGCGAGAAGGCCGCATCTTGGGTCGAGGTTTAATAGCAGTGGAGGTAGACGGCAAACGAAGCAGGAAGCGCGAGGTGGGAAGAGAGTGTCGAACTTGGGAGTGGGGGGTTGGAGTGGGTTCCAAGGTGAGGGAAAACACACACGCGTACGAACACATTCACACAAGTACACTTTGGCGCCTTCCTATCTACTTCTTCATGACTGGACTACTCCTACTCCTACTATCTATCTGTGGTGATGCTCTGCATGTAACGAACTCCTCCTTCTCAACCCGTGTGGTGCACTCCTTCCTTTCTCGCGGACCAGTTCAATTAACACACACACATACATACAAACATACACATTTCGTTCGTCATGTCGTTTACAGTACCTTGGAAGACGTGAGGCCATCCAAAACGGCGGCAAAGTCCTTGGCGATATCGGGGGGTAACCCAAAGGTTGACGACGGCGCCGCAGCGGCGGAAGATGGAGCTGAGGGCGTTGAAATGCCGCCGCCTGACGGCGGTTGCAGCGGTTCCGGAGCCGGCTGCGTTGCTGCTGCCGTACTGGGCGGTGGCGCAGGTGGCGGCGCCGGAGCCGGCGGCGGCTGGGGCTGGTGGAGGGGGGCCCGCGGCGGGTACACGGGCGGCAGGGCTTGATGGAGCATTGGGTGTGGTGGCGGAGCGCCGTACGGTGGTGGCGGTGGCGCCGCCGCCGGATGCGGCGGTGGCGGTGCGAAAAAGCCTCCCGGGAAAGGTGGAGCGTGGGGGTGTGGGGCCAGGGGATGGTGGCCCGGAGCCCCAGGGCCCGTCCCAGGGGGATGGTACGGCGGGTGCGCTGAGGGCGGCGGTGCCGCCGCCGCGGTAGCGGCCGCGGCCGCGTGGGGAGGATAGGCTCCAACTGGCAGGGGTCGGTCCACGGGCAGCTGGTACACAGTGGCATATAGGAACCATCGGAAAAAATCCGACCCCTCGCCATTCGTCAGGAATGCAAACTTGGGATCGCCCGCCTGCTTCTGCCGCATCATATCTATAAAGCTAGGCCCGTTGGTGCTAGCGAACTTGACCAGCAGCTTTATGCGGTCAGCCAGAGCCGTGTCCGAGGGTTGCATCGCAAAAGCGGGCATCGGCTCCCAAGGGCTGAAGAAGGCCGGCTGTCCGCCGGAGCTGGCGCCAGACATGATTCCTTTAATTAGTACCAGAAGTTTTCAGGAGGGTTGCCGCACTTCTGGCGAGCTGCTGGCCGCCAAGGATCGAAGCTTAGCGCAAGTCAAGTCATTATATCACACGGCGTGATGTTTGCAAAACGTTACAAGGGCCAAGAGTCTAATTTGCCTTCATGCGTGTTCTATAAACTAGCTCTCTGAGGAAACGTTCTCATTCTTCCGTATCTTGCCGATATGTTGCGGATCTTTCCCCAACAACGCCCTATCAATGATAGACTTCTTAAGAACAAGCAATATTTGGTGTTTGACTTTTCCTTACTCATCGCGGTCTGCTAGTACGTTGTTGTAACGGATTCACCGTTAGCTCGTTAGGCCTTTACACGTTCAAGCAAGCAGACATCGGCAAACGGGGTACTTGTGGTTTCGGGGACGGTTCTATTTCTGTCTTCCAACACAATGGCCCGCGACCTGTTCTTCATCATTGACCGCGGGCGGCCTTTCGGGCCGTATAACACCTTTCGTATACGGCGTGTGATCCTATTTCTGCAAGCCGGCCAGCTTCGGGAACTCTATTTCTGTTTTCGGGAGTTTCGGTACGACCTGAAACTCCCGAAGCGTTTGCCGATGACTGCAAGCAAGATGGCATCATGGCAACACTGCGATGCGTTTCCAAACCCGTGCCCGCAGTTCAATCTCCCAAGGCATGATCATTGATCGACGGTGAGTTAGCTCTTAACACCTTGGGGCAAACACCAAAGCAGGCCAAGCCTGGCCAATAGGCAGGCAAGTTAGCCGTGCCCGAGTAAGCATCCATGTCCAGCACCTCACCTGGCTCTCGCCATGCACACAAGGACAGCGGGATTGACGCGGAGGAGGCATTTTGGATGCTGCCGTCCTTGCGGGCCTTGCGGCAATACCCCTCTGGGACCCAATACACTGCAGACTCCTGCTGCCGGTTGGGCAAAGCGAAAGGCACGGTCATGAAGCCCAAACGGCAACCATGGCAACCCTCTTCCTTCCAGCACAACCCCTACCCCTCACTTTTTGCGCAATAGCCTTATCGGTGGCCATTTCAATAGAATAATACCGCCTTCCATTGCCGTATCCTATTGATATTGTCGTACCCACGCAGCCCCCGCAAGGCAAGAGATACACGGAGGACCACGGGCCTGAGTCGCCACACCACAAAAGCCGAGACGCGGTTGCACAAAGAGACCAAACACAATGCGGGCACTCACACACTGGTCCCTGAAGGCTAGCTAAGCTGTTCAACTATCACAAGCAACGCACACCTCCCGAGGGCGGCCGCCACTACCTCACCGGTGGTCCACTCACAACCGGGGCAAAACCCGGTCCGTACGGCAGTCTCCTCCTGGGGGTTGCGGGCTCCCGGGTGCAGCCCAACGCGAGACAAAGCACAACCACCTATTGCCGCCGGGGGATGACAAGCCGGCGCGGCGTCCCCCTATAAAGCTCCCCCGAAAAAGGCTCACAGACGCTGCCTGCTCCCGCTTACCACGCTGAGAAGGAACCCTCCCCACCTGTCCTGGTCTGCCGGGCCCAGCGTCACCTACTCTCCCTCTCCATCCCACTCTCCTCCACCGCTTCCCCCACCCCTCCCCGCTCCCACAAGCCACCTACGCCATCCCTTCCCAGCCGCCAGACAGCACAGAACCTATACCCCTCTCTTCGACGGTCCCCGATTCCTGGGGAGAGAGCACACATAGACACACACACGAACACACGCAGCCCACCTATTCCCACCCCCTGACACTCTCCCCCTCTCCCTCACTCTCCCTGCTACCCTCCAAAAGAGCCCCTGCCCCGACTCTAGTACGGCTATTTAGGCCGTGATTTCCACCGGTGCTGCACCCCGCATCCGTTCCTCCACGACCGCCAGGATGGGGTGCTGCGGCCCGACTCTGTCCCAGCTGTGTCGGGGGTTCTCCAGTGTCGCTTCTGGTGCTGCTGCTGTTGATGCTGCCACTACTGCTTTCACCCAATATTGCCCCTACCGGATGTCTTAAGAGCGAATATGCCCAACCGTTGCCCTGCACGATTGACGAGCGTCGCTTCGTTTACAACAAATGGCGCGATGGAATCCTCCCTCTACCCCCCTTCAACGGTAAACACTCATCTGCCCAACAAGGACTGCCAAGGGACTCTATGAAAGCACCTCAGGCCTGGACCCCGCTGCGCTGTGGTGTGTCGGATTGAGGATTGAATCGGATCAGTCCCGCTGTCGTAAACGTTCCAACAACGTCCCAACACCCTCATGGCCACATCCCACAGCAGCAAGTGCAGAACGCGATGTGGATGCTGCCGAGACCTGCATGGGCAGGGCAACGTCCCGCCCGCAACAAAAGTGGCCAACTACCCGCGTCCTCGTCCTCCTCTTCCTTTCCTGCCTTTCCTTGTTTTAGGTACTTAGGCCCACGCGGCATCTCCCACCCCACTCCAGCCGCCACTTACCTCCCCCACCCATCCGCAGCATTGCACAGCTGCCGCGGCCAACCGCCTTCCCTTCCTCGCCCGGTCATCCGTCCCCTTCCTCCACCCCGTCAGATCCATTTGAACAGATCCACCAACAGAATCACCAACCACGCATCTCATCTCCTCTCCTCTCTCTCTCTCTCTCTCTCTCTCATCCATCCATCCATGCATGCATGCATGCATCTGTCCACACAACTGCCCGGTCATCCATCCCCCATTCTGTCCATCACCTTTCCATCTATTACCCGTCTCCCCTCATACCCATCCTCGCTCGCTCCCAGCCTCGCTCCTCCCTTCCCTCGGTTCAAACCCACCGCCGCCGCAACGCCGCAAAGCCCCCCCTTACACGCTCCTCCATCCTTCCCTTCCTCCTCCCCTACTCTCCTCCCCCAGCAGTTGGCACTTTGGACGAGCATCGGAACTTGAACTCCTCCCTTTAATTTCCTTGCAAATCATTCTCACATGCCCTCCCTCCGTCCCTCCGCTTGACCCATCATCCGCACAACCCACACGCGGCCGCCTGCATCCCTTCACTCCACGTCGATGTCTTCATCAGGCAGGTCGGGCAGCTCCTCCCCCGGGTCCTCCTCCGCAGCACCAGGCGCTCCTGGAGGACCCCCGGCGTCCATGTCACCCTCGGAAATCTTGTCCACGTCCAACGTCTGAAGCCGCATAAAGGCCGCATACAGGGTACAGACGGACAGACAGACATTCACCGGCACAGTTTGCCTTTCGAAGAGGAAGAGCAGCAACGATCTTTTAAAAAAGAAAGAAAAAGTGGTTGACGGCTGGCAGCTTTAGCTTTGGAAAGACTGCGGTGCCTCCGACGTGCCCGCAGCGGTCGTCGGAGTGGGTCCCGCCAAGCTCACCACCAAAAGCCCTTAACCCGCGTGTCTCATCCTTCCTTCGGCGAAGAAGAAAGACATGCAAAGCCCATACATATCCAACTCCCGAACCCAATTATGGTTTTCCATAGACCACACGATGTTGATTGTTCTTTAAAGACTAGCGGGGCACGGCACATTGTAGTCCCTGTTCTTCCGCCCACCTTCCTGGCCTCCTTGATGAGCAGCTGCATGTCCAGAAGCTCCCGAATGCGGGCGTACTTCCGAGGGTCCTGGGGCCGCAAGAGGGGGTGGGGTAGGGGTGATGGTGGTGGTGGTGGTGATGGTGATGGTGGTGGTGGTGGTGCTGCTGCTGCTGATGGTGGTGGTGCTGATGGTGGTGTAGTTGCTGATACACCGTACGGCACGGTGAACAACTACAAATACGCGCTAAGCGCTCCACCAGCATCTCGAAAGGCCTTTTCTGCGGCCAACTACTACATCAGGGATGGGGGTTATGGTGGTCGTGATGGTGGTTGTCATATCGATGTTGGTGGTGTGGACGGGTGGATGGACGGGTGGATGGGCGGGTGGGTAGGCGGGTGGATGGGCGGGTGGGTAGGCGGGTGGGTAGGCGGGTGGATGGGCGGGTGGATAGGCGGGTGGATGGGCGGGTGGATGGGCCGCTCCTACCTTGCGGACCAAGAACAGGATATCCTTCTCGTCCACCTGCAACGGCAAGTGTAGACGCGGGGAGGGAGTCGGTGGTGGGGGGCGGGGTACGGAAAAGAAAGGGAGTGCGGGAGGTAGGGCGTGGTTTCGCAAATCGCGCGATAGGTGGCATCAGACACGCAGGCAACGTAACGGCAGCGGCAGGTGGGATTATAGCGCTGGTACGTGTGTGCATGCACCATCACGCATACACATACATACATACATAGACCATTGAGAAAGGTTAAGGTCTCCTTCCTGAGTCTGTTTTCTTGGATTCTATATTCTCCGCCAAACCGCCAGGCAAACAAACCACAAAGAAAAACTCAAAAAAAAACACATAACAGAAAATATTCCCCTTCCCCAAAAAACAGGCGGGCCCCAAACCGAGAGCTGCATTTCACCTTCCTGTAGTGTGCATCAGAATCAACAAACGCGACAAGAATTTCGTTAACAAGAGACAGGGTAGGGGGATAGCAACATAGGGATAGCGTACATGCCATGACGAAGGTGATTATAAGCGAAAACGT